TGAGGAAGCTGTAAATGTAAGAAATTCAGTCGTACATGTTGATGAAGAAGGCAATGCACTTTCACCTGAGGAAGCTGAAAATATTAGAAATTCAGTCGTCTATGTTGATGAAGAAGGCAATGAACTTTCACCTGAAGAAGCTGAAAATATTAGAAATTCAGTCGTCTATGTTGATGAAGATGAAGTTGAAAAATTAAATCAAGAAAAATATGCAGGTAAAGGAACATCAAAAAGTGTAAATAAATTAGAAGAATCAGATAAAAATCCTGCAAACTTAGCCGCATCACCTACTAAAAATAATACATTTGTATTAGCTGCTAGAATTAAGAAACTCTTTAAAAAAAATAGTAAATAGTTGTAATAATTTATATTTACATTATTTTGTATGGGTTAGTACTAGGGTATCCAGAAATACTGTATGTGTATGTGATAATATGTGTTTATAATTCTGGTAGAAATTATGCGAAATTTACATTTAGGTAATATAAAATAATATAAAAATCATTTGCAAAAAAAGATTAAAATTTTGATTATAATACAAAAAAATTAAGCATTGAAATTGACCGTTAAAGAAACATTCTTTTCTTCACTCAAAATATTTTTGTTTTAGAAAAATTGTGCTTTACATCTACTTAAGCCAAATATAAATCAATGTTATTTTTGATAAAATTTGATAATGTGAGACTTTTTTCTTTTCAATCATAGTTTAAATCCAATTCTTCTACTATTTTCTCCATTCTACAATAAATGCTCTATTTATCTAATAAAAAATTGGTATTATTTTGAAATTCAATTATATCATTATATAACAAAATATTTTGTCAATTAATTTAAATATAAATAATTGGAAATCAAAATATTAAATATTTCTAAATAAAGATAATGTCAAATGATATTGAATGTGTTTGTTTCATTTATATAAAGTAATTGATATGTTTATTTAAAATAAGACAAAAATTCCAAAGAATCAATATTATAATAATCATATTTTACAATTATTTTAGATAAAATTAAAGAATCATTTATAATAACAATTTCAGTTTGATTCACACAACTAATAACAAAAGTTGAAGGTTTTATTTCTAATTTTAAAAATTCCAAATAAGAAACAAAACTAAATTAAAATAATTTAAATTAAATTAATTAACAAATTATATAATAATTAATTTAAAAATAACTTTATCAGTTAGCATTAAATTTAATAAAAAAAGCATAATTTCTAAATTAAAAACTGCTATTCAATTTTAAAATGTTTTTGTTAAATTACGAATTGTTTTATTATAATTATTCAATTTTTCTTTAAGAAAAATGATATAATATATAAATGTAATCATTAAGCTAAAATACATATTTAAACAATTATATTAACACATTTTTACTAGTAATAATGGAAGGTAATATTAGGATTAAAAGTATTAAATTTTCAAAAAAAATAAAATAAAATAGGATTATTAATATTAATTGAAGAAAAATAACTAATTTATCATCTTTTTTTTTTTAATAAAATTACTTTTTTAAAATTTTTAACTATATGGGAGCTTTGCTATTAAAAGTGGGTTCCGAGACTATAAATTGATTTTGAGTTAAATGATGATCAAAAAATAG